CAAAAATAGCCGTTGCATCCCAATTTTTTTTGAAAAAATATCAATTTTTAAACCCCAAAATTTCCTTATAAATACTCCACATCCCCCACACATTGTTTTCACTCAAACTCTCTCAATCCCTCTCAATTTCTCTCAATCTCTCTCAATTTCTCTCAATCTCTCTCAGTACTTTTCTAAAAACTATCACATTATCCTAAAGCTCTCTCTCTCTCAAATCGCTCTTATTTTTTTATAATGGATCCTTTTAGTTATAGTGGTATTCTCGTTGATGCCCAACACAACGTAGAAGAAGGACAATTTCCCACTAATGAGTTTGTTACGCAAGAATCTACTAATCCGAGCCATGGTGGACGTACTGGAGGTTGTGGTCGCAATAGTGGTGGGCGTGGAGAAACGGCGAGTGCAAGTGCGACTGCGACTGCGTCTGTGTCGGCAAGTGTTGCAACCTCCAGGAGAAAATGCAAACGTACCTCGACAGTTTGGGATCACTTCGACATAATTGACGAGATGGACAATGAAGGTAACACTAAACATATAGCTCAGTGTAAATATTGTTTATCTAAATTACAAGGTGACACTATTCACGGCACCCCACACTTTAGACGACACTCCGAAAAGTGTCTTCAAAAGCTTAGCCAATCCGGCGGACCGAACTCCGCCAAATACAATTATCTTTTGATCGCGCAACCAGTGGTCTAACCACTTGAAAATATGATCCGCAAGTACATCGTATGGAAGTTGCGCGAATGATAGCTGCTTTAGATCAACCACTTAGTTTTGTAGAGCATCCTAATTGGCAACGATATATTAAGGTTGTACATAATCCTAATGCACAGTTCACTTCAAAAACTACTCTTAAAAAAGATTTATTAAAATTATTTAAAAAAGAAAAATAAGCATTAATAAACCTTTTACACTCAACTAGCGGGTGTGTTGCGTTAACGGTAGATATTTGGTCTATCATTGCCAATAAAGATTATTTAGCTGTAACTGGACATTCCTTTAAAGGATTTGATTTAGATAAGAGAATATTAGGTTTTAAATGTGTTCTAGGATCACATAGCGCGGATTTAATATATAACACAATTTTAAATGTAATTGATGAATTTAGATTAAGAGATAAAGTAATGGCTATAACATTAGATAATGCTAGTGCCAATACAAAAGCAATTGAATTCCTTAAAAATGATTTAAGTCTATTCGGTGACGGTACTATTTTCCACTAACGTTGTGCATGTCACGTAATCAATTTAATAGTTAAATCCGGTTTAAAAGAAATGGGTAATCACATTAAAAGAATTAGAGATAGTCTTGCATGGATTCAAGGTAGTAACCAAAGACAAGAAGATTGGTTTAGGTTCTTACAAGCATTAAATATACCTCATAGAGCATTAGCGTTAGATATGCCTATAAGATGGAACTCAACTTATATTATGCTTCAATAATGCATCCCCTATAAGGATGCTATAACAAACTATATGTATGCAAAATTAGGAGTATGACATATAGACGCATTTGATTGGCAAATTGCTAAAGTTTTGTATCAATTTTTAGGTAGGTTTCATGAAGTTAGTCTAAAACTTAGTGGAACATACTACCCAACATCACCTTTAGCTTTAGATGAACTTTTAAGAATTAGTATTTTATTTAGCGAATATAGGGAGGACCCAATCTTAGGAGTTCTTATTCATTTTATGGAAAAGAAATTTAAAAAACATTGGTTTAAGTTGCCTTTGTTATATGGTTTAGGTACAATTTTTTATCCTAGATTAAAATTAGACGGATTAGAAAGTGGTTTAGAAAACTTAGGTGAATTTTTAGGCATCACTTATACGGACCAATTTTCAATAATAAAGGTGAAAATATATGAGATCTATAGTAAATATGAGATTAGGTTTAGAAGCACAAACTCTAGAGTACAGGAACCGCAACAACAAGATGAAAACCCGCATTCATTCTTGAATATTTTCGGGTTAAAGAAGAAGAAGAAGACAACTCAAACAGAAGCTGTGAGTGGAAGTGGATCTTCATCAACAAGTGACAATGGCGGCGGCAGCTTCAACGAGCTTATGGCGTACCTCAGTGAAGGTTTAATAGTCGGCGGTACTAGAGATCATTTGACTTAGTTCAATGGTGGAGGGCACGGGCACTAACTTGGCCAATCCTAACTCGATTGGCAATGGATATATTTTCAATCCTAGTGTCCACTATATCATCTGAACAAGCTTTCAGTACGAGAGGAAGAATACTTGAGGAACGCCGGAATGCATTGTAAAAGGACATTGTTGAAGCCTTAGTATGCATTAAGGATTGGGATCAAGCCGATCAACGTCTACAGGATACAATTTCGCCGGCAAGCCAAGAATGGATCGATGAATTTAATCGATTAACATTTAATTTTGAAGACGATCCTTCAGCTTCAAATTAAATTGTAAATTTGTAATTTGTAAATATGTATTTACTTTTGACATTGTATTTGTAATTGTATAACTTTGTAAGTTTGTAAAATTTATAATTCGTCACAAAATGATTGCACTCTTTTTTCCTTGTCAAGTTTTTATCTTAATTGGGTTTTTCTTGATAAGGTTTTTAACGAGGTAATCATGAATTACAAATTTAAAAATTAATAAAGAAATAATTTTTTTATATAGTTCGTGTGTTAATTTCAAATTTTAAATTGTAATATATATATATCAAAATTTTAACACAAAATAACTTAATATTAAAAAAAAAAATTTCAAAAATTCAGGCTACTCGGGCGGGCTCGGGCTGCCCGGCCGGGCTCAGGCGGCCTAATACAAGCCCGCGGCCCGTTCAAGGTAATTTTCAGGCTTGGGCGGGAGGCCCGACTTTTTCGGGCGGGTCGGGCTCGGGCAAAAACTCAGTATTTTTGGGCGGTCGCGGGTGGCCCGTCCAAAGTTCCAACACTACTTATGATCTAATAATAGAGGCGGTCTAATATAAATATTTCAGTTTGTACGTTTGAAAAGGTTTATTCCTTGCGATGTCGCTAATGTCCTCAATATTTTGGATTTGTGCTCTCAGTTTAACTAGTTTTATTCATCAATCGTAGTATTTGTTTAAATGAGTTTTTGTCGCGCTCAATTTTTAAGTATCATGTGGTTTTTTCATTGAGTAATGAAACACGTATTCCCCCTCTCCTCATGCCTCATTCATTTTTATTAGTAGTTTCAGTATTTATCTGTGAATGAATATCTTAGTATTTAGTGATCATTTGCAACTATCGTAGGGTTTGTATCGACTTAATTGTTAAAATTTTTTCATTAAAAAAGAAAGCCGCAGGAGTGTTTGGTTGAAAAAAAAAATGTTGCAGATCACCAATCAACAAAGACATCCACCACTAATTAATTCGAAATATGGCGCCTATAAATTAATTGTGGGACTACAATAGAGACAGCAATGAATTCAAGAATTATGGATTCCACCGCCCTAGTAATCTTTATTTCTTATAATTAAAAAAAAAACGTATATATTTAGTTTTTTTTAAGAGACTTTTTTCGGTATGTCAAATATCTGTAGATTAAGTTATTTATATGTCAGATTTGCATAAAATCACCTAAAAAATAAAAAGTATGTAAATTTAATTGTTAAAAATCTTAACCCACTAATACACCAGAAGTGAATATCTCTTTTCAAAAAAAATAAAAAATAAAAGGGGGAATGATTATCTTATTTTCAAAAGATGCAATGTTTGCTATCGTACAAATTTCCAATTCTTTATATTTTTTTTAAAGAAAAAAAGTAGTGAGAATTGGAAAAAAAAACCCCAAAATGTAGTGTCTATTTGAAACTCTTTTTGAAAACAGTTTTTACGTATTTCAAGAAATAAAAAATAAAAATGAAAACGAAACGACGTTTGTTTATTAAATGTTTTAAAAATGAAAACAGTGAGAATAATTTTTGTGAATAAATTAGAAAACAGTTAAAAGTTATTTTTACTTTTTTATTTTCATTTTTAGTACTTATTAATAATATTATAATATATTAATTAATAAATACGATTTCACTTTTTTATTATAGTCAAAACAATCACTTAAAAAATCAATCAAACGCAATTTCAGAATCGGTCTCAAAATAATTCTCAAAATAATCTCATTTTTACTTTTTATTAAAAATAAAATCATTTTAAAACTAATTCTAGATGCACCCTATTTCAAATATAGAAAAAGTATAGCAAAATTGTCATTTTCAAAAAAAAAAAAAAAAAGTATAGGAGAATTGTATATTCCCTTTTCATTTCTCATCATTTCCCTTGCGACTAACTAATTGATTGTCCCAACTGCTGGTTAAAAAATTTGGTCATTATCCTATTAAATATCCAAATAATTAAGGGAGTTTTCCTTATAAGATAAGAATAATAGAATTATCAATAGTTTTATTTTTTTTAACCGTCAGATATGTATAAAAAATTATATGTTATGTATATTTTTTTAATCTTATTTAATTTTAATTAAATTTAACAATTAAAAAGTTAATTATATCAATAAAACGATCTACAAAGACGGTCCTATTATATAATAAGAAAAGAAAAAATTGCCATTTTAGCCTTGTACTTATAGGCCAACGTGTTTTTTTTTTTTTTTTTTTTTTTTGGGAGCACCTCTTAGTTGCATGATTGGATGAGATTCTTCTTCTAGTAGTTAAATGCTAAAATATTTAGAGAAAATTATAAAAATTGACACTTAAATATATCTTTTTAAAGTTTTATTTTTTTTTATTGTGATAGATTATTCTTTTAATAATAATTTATTAAATTTTAAATAATAATCTATTAAATTATACCCGTTATTAATTACTAGAGACTCATAGCCAATAATATATATTAAATTATCAATAATAATCTATTAAATTATTTATTTTAAAGAAGTAAAATTTAATAGATTAATATTGAGACTTAAAAATTAATAATGGTACAAGAGATACTTAAATATTTATCAAGAGATCTTTGTAGATACAAGGCCCAAATAAAATATCTCTATCTCTCTCTCCTCATCATTTGACATGGGAGAAGCACAAGTACGGCAACCCAGCGTCACTGGTAAGTCAGTTTGTTCATACTCTCAACTGGGTTTACCTCTGTTTTCCATTCTTTTGCACATTTGCCAACTTTACAGGGGAATAAGGAAAAGAATATAGACTGGGAAAGTTAGAATTATTTCTCTGTTCGATTTTAGTTTGGATATTCAATCTTTTTCTCTATGTTGTTTTTGCCACTTCATATGAAAGTAATAATACTCGTATCAACAATATAGCCTTCACTGATTTCTCTCGCTCTTTTCTCTTGTCATAAAAGCTATGAATTAATCCCCTAGAAGAAAGAAAATATGAGAGGATATTTGGTTCATATATTTAATTAAGATTTAGAATTATTTCATTTTACGTGTATTTTTTACGAGAAAAAAATACTTTAGAAAATCATAAAGAATCAAGAACAAACACATAAATAAATGTCCCCTAAGACTCACAATGCAAGATTTAGAATTATTTCATTTTACGTGTATTTTTTACGAGAAAAAAATACTTTAGAAAATCACAAAGAATCAAGAACAAACACATAAATAAATGTCCCCTAAGACTCACAATGAACAAATTTAGTCTTTTCTCTTTTGTGGAACACAAAAGGTGTGACAATTTTACTCTTTTCTTGTTTCTACACCTATGGAAGTCATATTTAATTAGAATCTAAACTGTATAGAAGCACTTTCTTTTTTTTTTCATCAAATCCTTAAATTATGTAATCTTTTCAACAGCTCAGGAAGCTAATGATGCAAACCCTGATGGCCACACAAATGGTTCAATCAACCAGTCGCCTAATCCTCAGCCAAGAAGAAAACTTACAAGCTGGATTCGAATCGGTATCTACGCGGTGTTTGTTCTTGCCGGTCAGTCGGCAGGAAATCTGTTGGGGAAATTGTATTATGACAAAGGTGGAAATAGCACATGGATTGGATCATTTCTTCAGGTTGCAGGCTTTCCAATCCTGCTTCCCTACTATCTGCTCCCATCAAGAAAGAATAACAATACCAGAACAGAAATTAGCACCAATACGATCAGTTCGAAATCGCCTTCTATATTTGTCCTTGCATCATTTTATATGGTTCTTGGCCTAATATTAGCAGCAGATTGCTATTTTTACTCTCTCGGGCTAATGTACCTTCCTGTGTCTACTTACTCACTCTTATGCGCATCCCAATTAGCCTTCAATGCTTTGTTCTCCTTCTTTCTCAACTCGCAAAAGTTCACTTTCTATATCATAAACTCCCTGGTGCTTCTCACGACCTCCTCTATTCTCCTTGTGTTTCAATCGGAATCTGAAGACACTCCTAATATCTCCAAAGGGAAATATGTGATCGGTTTCATTTGCACCGTAGGGGCGTGTGCAGGGTACGGATTGGTGCTCTCCTTGACACAGTTCCTCCTCAATAGAATCCTGAAGAGTGAAAGTCTTTCGGCGATCGTAGACATCATAGTGTTTCGATCACTTGTTGCTAGCTTGGGAACTCTTGTTGGGCTCTTTGCGAGTGGAGAGTGGAAGGTTTTGGATGAGGAGATGAACTCGTTCAGGCTTGGGAAGTTATCCTATGTCATGACACTTGCATGGATAGCCATAACATGGAAGCTCTTCAGCATTGGATCAGTGGGGTTGATTGCTGAGGTATCTTCACTCTTCTCCAATGGCATGAGCGTTTCAGGTTTTCCTATTGTCCCGATTTTAGCAGTCTTCTTCTTCCATGAGAAGATGGATGGGATAAAGGTTATGGCAATGTTGTTGGCTATTTGGGGTTTCACTTCTTATGTTTATCAGAAATACCTTGATGATTATGGTTCCAGGAAAGAGAGCCAAAATGCCATCAGTGAAACAAGAACTTCACCCCATAGAGAAAGAGAGATCAATGTTTGAATCTGTTTGAGAAACTTCTAGGAGTTTAGTTTTACTTGTTCTGTTAGATTACACGTTTATAGGATATATTTGTTTTAAATAACATAATTACTTAGATAATAAGAGCAAATGGGTGTACTGATTTGTGAATGTTTAAAATTCAGTTTTGCAACTGAAATGGTATTTGTGGATATTTAAAATTCTCGGCTAAGTGGCATTGTTTTTTCCGGATGGGAATTACCCGGATCGTTTGTGTAATTGTATTTCAGAAGAAATGAAAAGTTGTGGCTTTCAATTTCTACATACTATTTCTTACTAGAGTTTTTGTTGTCCTTGAGACTGGTGCAACACGCCTCCGGTTGTGAAATGTGGCGTCTCCAAAAAGGCAACACCTTCCAAGTAAAGTCTTGATATAGTTTTCTGCCTCCATTTTGACCGAGTAATGTTAGAAATCTACCTTACGTGGGTGGGTGGACGGGGATTGGGCTTTTCGGACTACAAAAGGAAACATGGTGGGTTATTGGATTGATTTCTCCGTTACCCATTGGAAAAAGGAGATAAATACCCCATTTATTTAGATTTTTATCTCTTATTCTTAATTATTTTTTTTATTAGTCAAATAACTATATTAATCAAGATAATATTAATGAAGAGTAAGAAGTAAAAATTCACATCCATACACTTTAATAATTTTCTCTTCCCCATTATTTCCTCTAGTCCAATTAACCCCTCAAGTGGGATTTAAAATTGAATTGGACCAACGATAAAGAGGCCCATTGATTTACTTATGGCCCATAAAACTACTAGCCACGCTAGTTCCTCTATGGCTGGGTTCACGGAGCAAACCCACTCACATCATGGGACGGGAATTTGGGCTTGGGCCCCTCCGGCGAGTCCCATACAAAATCGACCATCAACACTAGTCAACCGCATTTTTACATGTTATTTTAAAAAAAATTATGATTTTTTATAACTGAAATTTTGGTGTGTTTCTATCTGAGTCTATTAAATAATGCAGTATTGTTTAGTACCATATTATTTATTTCTATTTGAGTCGTCTTTCGTAGCAAAAATAATGTGGTATTATGATTGGTTACGCACCAGTTTAAAGGGAAAGCTGAATCCATTATGAGAGGAGCTGCTATACAATTTGGCCTCTCCTCGAGCCAAAACATGTCATATATATGCTCTTGCAAGGACAAAGCCATACGAGCCATTCTGCCACAGTTACTCGTAGCGATCAGACAATCACTTCTATTGGCAGGCCAATAGGCTAACTAGACCGAAAGCTATATCATGAACCACTCTAAAATCTAGTTACACTCCAAACTTAGAGCAAAGGCAACTTAGGAAATTAAATTTTCTAAAATCTAGTTATTAAAGACAACTTATGTAGGAACTTTAAGACCAAGACAAAATTATTTTGCTGCTCAAGAAAAGAAAATAAAAAGAAGTTACATAACCCTCTACTTTCAAGTGTTGATTCAGGCACAAGAAGAAACGCAAAGAAAGTGAAAGGAAAAAAAAAAAAAAAAAGTTGTAAAATTCCTTTTGGTCCCCTATTATTTGAGAATTTTCGATACAAAATAACTAAAAAAATCGTATGAAAAGTTAAATTAAGCAGATTAAAGAAAAAAAAATGTTCTCGCGTATTTTGTCTCTTCAAATCGTTGAATTCTATGGCATCTCTTTATGATTCTGAATCCATTTTCTAGTAAATAATTATTGCATTGCTTAAGGGACGCCTCATATTAATGTAAAACCTTGTACAATAACGCCTCTGTGTGTGCTTCCCTTTTCATTTTTGTGAGCTTCTAAGTTTCTGTGATGGGAGAAACTTCAAGAACTGCAACTCATCACAGGTAATTCTGTTAGTTAAACTTTATACTCAATTGGACTCTCTATATACAGAGGGAAATTTTTATGTATGATTTGAGTATAGAGATCCATTTCCATTTGTTCTATAGACATATAGCTTGATCAATGATATACTCAGAAGGAAGAATATAGGAATTATCTTTTTCTTTTCATTTCATTTCTTTTCTTTTTTCAAACTCAAAAGTAAAATAGTTCAGAGACCGGAGACTTTAGACCCGTTTTAAAAGTATACTCAAATTATGATTCTAAATTTTGACGTTTGAAATTTAAATCTTTTGTGAGAGAAAAACACCAATACATAATTAATAATTTGAGTTTGAGTATATGAAACAAATGGACCATTTGTCTCTTTATGATTTCAAGTGCATGTAGACTTATATCCACGTTTTGTTATGGTTAAAAAAAAGTGTGATTATAAAAAAATGTATGTCGTCACAATAGCATTTATTCCACTACTAACAAATTCTTACGTAGCCCAGGTCTTCAAATTTAAAAAAACATGTCCTTGTCTCTAGTATGCAGGGGTACATATACACTTTTTCTACATAAAAATTGGAAAATTTACCCTTAAGATTATGTGAATCTAAACTTTTACTTGTTACTCTTGATAAATACCTTTTTGTTAGTGTAATTATTTGAGATTATACAAGTCTGAATTTTTACCTCTTACTCTTGATAAATACCCTTTTGTAACGTACGTAGCAGCAAGGATGGTGCATCGCCTATTTATCGTTCTCGCTCGGGAGCCAAAACGAACACGCCTGCTACCTACTGTACTGGACCTTCGACCAGGCATTCTACCCTTGTCGAATCGAAACCAACCACCACTGTATTGCGCTCGAACAGTTGAGCGGCCGCCGGCCAGCAACTTCCGTACACAGATCTAGATTCATTCTTCGTACCTGGTCCAACTTCACAACCCTTCGCGGGTTGGTCAGAAGTCAGTCTTGTTTGGTAAGACGGAATTGGACAAAGACCGGAACAACGGCCAACAAAGACCGTAATTACATAGATAACTGCTCCTCCCCTTCTCCGTCTTTAAGGCTTTAAGGCGAACGCTCCCCTACCCCTATCTCTAAAGGGGCCCGTCACTTCGTTCGTACCTCGCTTATTCAAAGGGCTGATTATTTAGAACCCTTTTTGCTCATAAGTAAGTGAGCGTTGGTAGGAGCGGCGGGATGATGATTTTTATATAAATAAATAAAGACCAAAAAGAAGAAATGGCAAGATCCATTTTATATCGATGGAGGAAATAACGATGTGGCAGGGATTCTCTACAATGACACTAGGTGGTAATGAATAAGATTTAGATCGCGTAAATCGAACTGCAAACCCTCCGAACGGAAAGAAATGCCTTTCTTTTTCACCTGACAAGTTATATGCCTACGTCAGAATGATTGTTCTCAGAGATATGGCAATGAGACTGCTGTAAAGGAAGATTACTAGCCCTTGTCAATATTACTATTTTCCACAACATCCAATTGCAATTTGGAAAGATGGAAAGTATTGCAAATCCATAATTCTAGAGTGGGAATTGTTGGCGAAATAATAATTGCAGGAATTAATCATACTCCAAGATGACTACCTTCCAAACACAGCATGTAACTAAAAACATATTACTCGAAAAACAGAAAAACTGAGAGAACCAATAAATATATATATATATATATATATATATATTTATGTATGTAGACACACACAT